ACACACACACACACACACTGAGGCTCTAACACTGTGCAAACAAGAATCAGACGTAAGACCTGCTTACTGAGGTTACAACAACACAGAGGATAAAGTGAGTAGTTTTACATGGTGTTCATGCATCACTGGACTCATGAAAGGACATTTGTGGTTCTGACTGGACTCATTATCTCATTATCATCCACGTGGTCCCTGACAGTAACCTCTATTAAAGAACAATACTGTGTTACTGTTTCACCACCCTGAGGTTAAACTAATGTGTCGAGCTGTGATTTTACAATGAACTTCAAATATGAAAAGACTACATGGGCTACTTTTGTGCATATATTACTGCACCTGAACTGGATTGAAATGCTGCTGCTGCCTTGTTTCAACAGATCCACACTTCACGGTGAGATCAGTGAAAACTGCCCTTCATTTACTGTTAGAATATAAGAATGTACAGTTCTGATGTTTGCAAGCTTCAAGCACTGATGGAAGGTTCTTCACACGTTTTTCCATTTTAGGCACAATGATCACATGACGCTGTGGAATTTAAATCTAATTTTCTGATGCTATGTCTCCACCCCACACATTTCCTCTCCACTTAGCAGACACTCAGGATAAATGACATTTGTTCAAACCAGTAACTGAACTGTACCTGTTCCTTCCAGAGCGATCGATTTAGACTGGACATCATCCTGCCTCCTGGGTCCACGCACACTGACAGACAGACACAGGGATTACTGGATTAAACCAGCAAAATCCTTTCTACTAATTACACGTTTACATCTGCTCGCAAATATGAACTCGTAGATGTGGCTGGGTCATTGTCAGCACTTTTCTGTGTCTAAGACTAAATGTGATTACTGGTCATATGAAGGAGCCCCAAACAGCGATCTCAGATATAAATCAGACTACAGTAGAGTGTAAGTGCCTCATACTGCTGGACGCCTACCGGTCAGTGAGCGCCAGTCTAGCAGTCTGGAGGTTTGGACGAGGTGGCTGCGGCGTGGCGAAGGTAAGAGGCAGCAGGGCCGTGGATCTGACAGGAGAGCGCTGGGCTGAACCCTGGGGAGGAACAATGATCATTCATATGATAAATAAATAGTTCAGAGCATCAGATGATAAGAAGAAAGTTCATTTAGAGAAAATATTTCAAGGAACTTGTACAAAAGTCTGAGGACTGTGTTTCATTGTAACACAGTCCTCGTGTTCTCAGTGAGACCTTTCTGGAGTAACTTGCTGCTCCAGCAAACACGTTAGCCTGCTGTTATTGGAGATCGGTCAACAGATCAACATCAAATCCACACTGCCTGGATTATCTTCATATTCAGAGTACAGTATGCAGAGATTAGCAGGCATTCAGTCTACAGAGGATCCACAGTGGTGTACGATCATGGGCTTCCCCTGTCTGCAGCTCAGCACCGACTCCTTTTCCCCAGAAGAACGTCCAGCACGTAGCAGCAGATTATTTAAACTGTATGTTCATCTTTACAGACTGACTGTTTGTTTCTGCTTATTTAGAGGAAATGTCCCCTTAATTTATTAAAAACAAACGCGCCCACACAGGCAGCGTGATCCGAGCCTGTCAGACGATCGGTGCTGCAGGCTTTGGAAGCGAGCGAGAGGATGTTACCTGCAGTTTCTGCACAGAAAGTCTTTTGACAGTGAAAAAAAAAAAATCACACACAAGTCAAACCTGTAGAATACATGGACTTTCTCTAAACCAGTGGGTTCATAGTGGTTTGAAGCTGCAGTCAGAGGTGGAGGTGCACGGTGCTCTTACGTGGGCCTTGTTGCCATCTCCTGCCAGGCCGTCGTCGTCCAGCTGTCCCACTGTCGCTCTCTCCCTTTCTGCTATTTTCAGAGCAAACTCCATTTCAGCTGCCAGCTGTTCGTCTCCAGAAAAGATCTCCTTCACCTCGTTGCGGTAGTCCTGCAGAGTCACCTGATGTCAGACACACAAAGGTTAGTGCAGTTCCCTTCGCTACAGTATTTTCTCTCTTAAAAGAGGAGAAACAGAAGCACAAACGGTTCTGCTGATGCTTTGCAGCTGACGGTGCTGTAACGCTGATGCAGAGCATCAGTGAATATGATCATGCACGCTGGACTTACCTGCAGGTAGCCCATGAGATCTCTGAGAACAGGAGAGCGCTTCTGCTCCAGCAGGTTCTTCAGGCTGATGATGAGAGGAACCGTGTTCTCTGTGAAGGCCTTCTTCCTGACCTGTGGATCAAAAGTTGGATTTATGTGGATGATGAGATTACCTTCAATCAATCTCAAATATTTCATCTGCTGAAATATAAAAACGTTAAAAGTCTTCGTTACACTTCGTGCAGACAGTTTAGCCTGATGCATCTCTGAGGATGAAGACCTCTAACCTTCACCATTGTTTGACTGTCTTGCTCAGATGGATATAAACAGTGTTTTGCTCATTTGGTTCATAATCAGATTCAGAATCAGCTTCGCCAGCCTTCATCTTCATCTTCAAATACAAATATTTTAATAGTTCAGAATGAGTCAGTTTGCTCCGCAACGTAACAGGAAGGTTAAAGTTGTTCTTTGTTGTAGCCAAGAGCAACATTTCTGTAGCCTGACAGAAATAAGAAGAAAGCTGTTCAGGCTGAGCTGACAAAAGAAACAAGCTTCATGTGTTTGAATCTAAACTTCAGGTTTAACTGCTCGATATTTGTGTTTTTGCTGTTGAAACAGGTGATTCCTCCTCAGCAGAGCACGTGTCCTCACAGTGACGTCTGAGCCAAACAAACTAAACAGTCAGTGGATTCAACATGATGTCAGATGTAAACGACCTCCACCCTCTGGTAGATGCATAAAACACCACCAGTTTTTCTAAATGCTGCTTAGGGGAGCTACTGGTTCCAGCATCCACACCACAGGTGGGCAGGTCCTTACAGTCAAGGCCTAGCCGACCATTTGAAGTGACAAATAACAGTTTGTGTGGCATGTTGTATAGAGCGCTTTGAGTACTGCGAGTAGAAAAGCGCTCTATAACAATCAGTCCATTTACCACTTTATAGTCACTGCATTGGTTATTGCATGCAAGACATATGCCATGCAGCTGCCGCCGTGCAGGAAGCAGCTGCCGCCGTGCAGGAAGCAGCTGCCGCCGTGCAGGAAGCAGCTGCTCCCGGCTCGCTGGCATCCTGTAATCTGGGAATCTTTGAGCTCCGGTACTTTCAGATGAGTTCCTGTGTGGATGAATTCAAACTGGCTCTGCTGAGAACACCAGGTTACAAAACTTGAGTAACACACTGGTAATGGGCGGTGCTCGGCATCAAATGTGTGTCACTTTATGGAAAGCCTAGTTTAGTGTCCTACAGTTATATAGGTCATATAACATGTGTTATCTAACAGCTATTTGTGTCATTGTTACTATAAATGATCGTGTGGTCTCCTGTGACTGAACAGCTGGTGACAGGAAGACTTATTGAGCAGAACCAGAATAAAGGAGGTAAACCAACTGCCTCAGTAACTGAGCTGAGCAGAAAGAGGAACAAAGGAACCAAATACACTTTAAATGCAGAGAAATCATCACCTGTGACACCACTTTCTTCTGTGCAGCCTGCAGAACAGCTTTGGCCATGGTGGCCATGTTCTCCTCCTCTGCTTCCTCCCCTGCAGCAGCGCCTGCTGAACTAGAGATGGTCTGCAGCTTAAACTCTTTAAGGCCCAAGATGTTGAAAGTCTCTGACAAAATGTTAGCACCATCTGCATCCAGGGGCAGCTCTTCATCAGCAAAGCACGCTGATGTAGGAGGTAAGAACAGAAAATGACCAGGGTTCTGGTTAATAGTGCTTTAACAACAGGCCCAGCTCTGAAACGAAGAACCTCGAACTTTTAAGTTTACCTAAAATGGTCTGGTTGATCTTGTTGGTGACGTTGAAGCGCTGAGCATCTGTAAAGTGCTCCAACAGGAAGCAGTAGATTCGAAAGCGTTTCTCACGGTACTGTTCTCCTTTTAGGGAGAAGTGAACGCGCTCTCTGCGTGGATGTTCAAAGAAAAGGAAGAAACTCAACAAACATGTCATGACGTGAGGAATCCAGCTGAACAGGATC